AATTAATTCATGCAGATCATCACATGCTGGCTCCTGGAAGCTTGAAATATCACCAGCAGCATTTAACAGAAGAGAAAACCAAAGAGGTCCAGTCCCCTGCTGCAGCTGCTGTGCAGTTAGAGCAATGCTCAGGGCCCTGAGCCTGGACTCTCTGTCCAGTGCTCCTCCCCCAAGTCCCAATATTTCATATGTGGGTAATCAGAAAGCTCCCCTGGCTTCTCAGGCCTCAGGGAAGCTCCTGCAGGGGCCTGGCAGGGGACCAGAGGCATTGGATGGAGAAGAAGACAGGTGCATGGTTTCAGAAGACAAACTCCCTGTCAGAGGTGATGAAGGACTCCTGAGAGTGAAGAATGATGGACTCAGCTGGAATTAGACAGAAACAAGACAAACTGTGTGTGAGTGCAACGTGGGTGCACATTTTCACGTCGGATGAGTAATTAGAAATCTGTGTTATAAATCTCCACACTCCTGTGTCGTGTTATGGATGCCAACCTGACATCTATTAGGGGAGAATTGTTCCCTTGGCTGATGTGAGGATTTTTGTTGTCTTCACATTGGAGCCTTTAATGAATAGATAAGCCCCATCGCTAGGCTGGTTCCTTTGAGGGGCTTGGCGGGGGAGCGTGGGGGAGGGATGATCCAAAGCAGAGGACGGTAATGACTGTCATAATCATTATGACCAAACTTCCTGTCTGGTGACTGCGTTCGATGTTGTCTGGAAACTGCTTGCTTCTTAGTAATGGGCTCTCTAAAGGTTACCAGGGTGTTGGCATGCTGGCAGCGGTGCCTGTGTGCTGCGTGACCATTGCACAGTGGCCTTGGGCAGGGACAGAGGCTCTGGAATCTGGAAGGGCTGTGATAGTCTCTGTCTCCACAAATAGCTCATTATAAAGGATGATGTGGAGCCCTCTGAGGTGTGGAAATTTCTCTGCTGGGGACCGAGTGGCAGCGACCACAGTTATATGCATAAACCTAAGCATCCTTACTGGAGGGGACTTTAGAGCAAACGTGTCATAACTCCAGAAGAATTACTTGATGCCACTCTTTAAACACAAACAGCAGAATGTTGTTCCTTCAACAGGTGTGTGTATCACTCGGGTGGTACCAGGCACAGCATGATCAGAGTCACCATTAGAAAACGGGGTGCTGAAGAGGTCCAGTCCCCCCTGCCATGGCGGCTGTGCAGTGCTAGAACAATATCAGGCCCGTGGGCCTGGACTACTGGAGCACAGCACTGTGTGGCACATACTGCTTAAGGCGAGTTAGTTGTCTTGTGACTTACTTGATGCTCCTGAATTTTTGCTGCTGACCAGTAAAGTCAGTATCTCCTCACCACTCAAGAGATTAGAAATCTGAGCCCCAAGACTCTGTGCCCCTCGAACCCTGTTGCCCACCCCTCATAGGTGGGCCTCTTGGTGACCACGAAAGTAACCTAGAAAGGGGAAGCCAGAAACACTAGGATTGCGGAATCCATAATGTATGGGAAAATGTCAAGGGCTATTTCTCGTTTTTTAAAAATTTGGAAAGAGCCACCCTAAAGTGGGGGGAGAGTGATGGGCTGGTGTCAAGCACAGTTGTGCACATTGTAATACGATTTTATAATTACTTAGCTCCAACCGAGAGCCGTCTTGGAGAGCCAGATGTCTGCAGTCTCTTGTTCATTTCCCACGGCATCTGCTTGCCAGCTTCCCCTGTCCCCACCAGCCCTCCACTCGCTAGAGAGTGATTCGCTGCTGTTGTGGTCTGGCACATTCCCTACCTGTGGGAATCATGCTCCAGTTTTCCTTCCCCCTTTGGGCCAGCCCTCTCCTTCCTTTCCCATTACTTTGCATGAGGATGGGTCCAACCTGACTCCATGATGTTTATGTTGTGACCAACCAGAGCAGCAGACAAACCTGCCTGTGATGACTGAAATTAGCTCAGTTTTGGTCATAAGACCTAAATGTTGCCAAAGGTATAACAGAATATTGACTAGGACTATTGTGAAAATAATACATAAAACAGAAACCTGCATGTTGAGGGCTAAAACTTTTGGGAGCCACTGGAAAAATACATAGAGCCTACTGACAGACAGGTCCTGAGGTCCTTAGAGAGTCCCTTGTTCCAGTTCTCCTGAAGCACAGCCTTATTAGGGTTTGCATTATATAAGCCAACAAATAGTCTTGCTTTACCCATTTGAGGCAGTCAGAAACCAGTTCTGAAAGCAGCAGAAAAACCTTCTCCAGAGAACACTCTAGGCTGACAGATGACACAGGATCAGGATCCCACAGGTAGACATGACAGAAGTCAGTGCTGCCAAGTGTCAGGCTACAAACGTGGTCAGGCAGACGCAGTGTCTGCTTCGGACCTGGGTGTGGCTGGGTAGAATAAATTCAAAACTTAGGCTCCTTCCTACTCCCTTTCCCATGACGAGCAGGAAAGAAATCCCCCTAAGAGAAGGATTGTCTGGGTAACCCACTGTCCTTCACTTCGTATCCCCATTCTTTTCTCTATGGCAAGTTGCCGCTGTTTTTAACTTTAGCTTCATAGTTTTCCTTACTTGCTGAACCTCTAGCCTGTTGAAGGGGGAGAGAGGAATATATATCTTAAGTGCTCAGTAGTCTGCGTACCTAACATAGCTGCTACCATGCACTGTTACAGCTTAACAGTTTCTGCCTGAGAACTGTAGGGCTAAGCAGAGACAGAAGGAGTCTGAATTTTCCTGAGTTCTGCTCTTTGTGCGCCTGCCTGCTTAGGTTGAATCCCCTTCCTCTTATCTTGGGAAAAGCAAACGCCTGTAAATCTGTCTTAAGAAACAGTTGACACAGCTGTCCAGTTAGACATCAAAATCCTGTTTCCTAGAGTGAGAACATCTTAACAGCTCCCAGCAATGCCCATGCCACATGCCAATAACCATGTAGTCCAAGGCATGCCCGAACTACAGTAGACGCTCCCTGTCAGCGGTCACGGAACCCAGAGAGCACACTCAGATGGTTGGAGTGTTCAACACTCCCAATATAGACTATAAAAGTAGTAAGAAACTTCAAGATGGAACCAGACTTACACAAAGCACTGCCTTTGGTATTGGTACATTGCCTGCTAGCAAAATCATGAATAAAGCTAAGTTCTCTGAGTACAGTTTCAAAATTTGGATTTCAGGGAGCATGGGGACCTTAGGAAACGGTTGAAGGGGAGGGAGAGACAGGGAGGGGAGAGGCAGAGAAAAATGTAGAGCTCAATAAAAATCAATAAAAAAAAAAGTTGGATTTCAGACCAGGCAGTAGTGGCGCTTGCCTTTAATCCCAGCACTCGGGAGGAAGAGGCAGGTGGATCTCTGTGAGTTCGAGGCCAGCCTGGTCTACAAGAGCTAGTTCCAGGACAGGCTCCAAAGCTACAGAGAAACCCTGTCTTGAAAAACCAAAAAAAACCAAATTGGCTTTCTATAACACTGTAAGAACAAAGAACATGTTCATTCTGCAGCAGGTCTTCCAAACACAGTAGGCCTTCAATTAGTGCCTCATTTAATCACTAGAGAATGAGTGTCCCATCTCCGGGGCCCTAGGCTTTCTGTGTTCCAGTGTTCCAAGTGTTCCAAAGGAAGCCACGTCTACAGGCGCTGAGTCACTGACACATCCCATGTAAAGGCACTTCGTCTGCACCTTTCAATGATGGCAGGTTAGCAGAGGGTGGCGCTTGTCTGCCACTAACACATCCACTCTTGTTAGGAACGTCTCTGTGACCTGTCCCAGTTTCCCAGCTCTGGAAGAGGGCCTCTGAGGGGGCGGGCAGTACCTCTCTCTGTCCTCGCTTTTCTAGTGCTGAATTGCCCAACTTCACTGTTGTTTCTGAAGACCACACAGGGAAGGAAACTCATTTACTGAACCTACTAAGCGCTGGGAACTTTTTAAGTATGATTTCATCTGATCCGCTCAGCCGCATTATAAACAAGGTCCTACTAGTCTATATTTTATATAAACAAGAAGTGTTGCCTGATATTTGATGGCACTATGAAACTCTGAGACTGTGTTAATAAAATTAACCTTGGATTGGGCAGAGCCAGTGACTAGTTGACAAGAATTGCCCATAGAGAGTACGGAGGACCTGGTAAGATGGATGGATAGAGAGACACAGGAAGGAGTAGGGAGGGACTTAGAGATTCTCGATCTTTTTGGTTTGTGACAGTGTGGAGGCTCTCTCTCTCTCTCTCTCCCTCTCTCTCTCTCTCACCCTCCTTTCTCTTTCTTTCTCTCTCTCTGGGTCTATGGCTAAAAAGGAAAGTCAGCTGATTGCTTATTGGTTTCTCTGATCTAGCAGATTTTTATCTCAACATCTTACTCCCGAGTCTTTATTGGAAAATAAAACAACTTAGATTAAATACTACATTTGGAGGACTGGAGAGAGAACACTGGTTAAGAGCACTGGGTGCTCTTCTAGAGGACCCAGATTCAACTCCCAGAACCCACATGGCAACTCACAACTGTCTTTAACTCCAGTTCCATGGGATCTGATGCCAATGCACATAAAATAAGGTTAAATAAGTTTTTTTTTTAAAAAATTACATTTGGTGACTGTGGCCAAGCCAGTGCAGGCAGGACTGGAAATTGTGCCAGGCTGTAGTCTGGATGGCAGTCTAGCCATTGGATGCTGACTGTAGGCCTTGGGTAGTTAAAATAGCAGTAGAATCAGATGTGGCTACTAAGACAGAAAAACAGCAAAGGCCCAGAGGAGTCAATGACTTACCCAAAGTCACCCAGACTCAATTTACAGAATTGAGCCTAGGGCACACTCACTTCCTCGTTTTCTTTATTCCACACTTTGTTTTGTAATATGACTATAGGGACTGGAGTTATAGTTTAGTGGAAGAGTGTTTGCCAATCATGCATGAGGCACCAGGTTCAGTCCTCCAATACAGCTATACACGTGTGTGCTTATGTGGGTATATACGGATCATATATGCATATATAGTGCAGTAGACTTCCTCCGGAGACTACTGTTCAGGCAAACACACCAAGTCATCAGCACAATCTTATTTATTATACCAGAGAAGTAGGGAATTACACAGGCCTATTAAGGACTCACGTATTCCAAGTAAGTTGGATAAATGTGATGTTTGAGCAGCACATAAAGTCATCCCAACACAATATACAGATTTCAGAACACACAAAGAGCTCCTATGCGTGGAGAGGGACCACTCACGACAGCTAATGCAAAAATGCAAATCCAGTCTGTTTCCTCTCCCATCCAGCCCCATCTCCCTAACCTACCGACATCAACATTTGCCTGATGCTGGGACGATTTGAAACCGAGGAGGGCCCTGCGTCTGACTCTGGGTTATAGGAATCAAGGGGTTCCAGCTGATCTCGAACACTCAGTTGTTTACTTGGAGACATAGGGAGTACGGCTCACTGTAGTGTTGAGGTGAGACGCTCCTTTAGCTGCAGCGTCTGGATCCCCTTTCCCAGCGCCCGTGCCCGTGCGTATGCTGGGCCAAATGACTCAGCCAAATGGCTCGGACTCCCGCAGCCAACTCAGCTCCCGAAGAACACAGCTGCGCTCAGCCTCCTGTCTCCACTCGGCTTCAGTTCCTCATGGGGCAGAAGTGTGATTCTGATCCTTTTTAATGAGGGCTGTGGGAACTGGCCCGGATTCTGAATTTGATGCACAGAACAAATTGGTTTGCTTTGCTCCCCTCTTACCGTCTCAGCCTTTAGAAGCTCATGGTTTTTCGGCATGAGCAGTGGGGGAAAGGCACTACCCCAATCCAGAGCCTAGGAGTGGGCATTTCCAGACATGTTTGAAGCCACGAGAACTCTGGATGCTCAGACTGGGCATTTAGCCACTAGAGGCCTGGCCTCACTGGGGTCATAATCCCTGCCACGAAAAAGGTCTTTCATTTAACCGTGGCCTCCAGAGCAGGGTACCTTAAAAGAGCCCCTGATGGTGAAAATGCGGTTAGGATTTCTAGATATCTTGTTTTAAGTTTCTACTCTGTCTCATGCATGCACGCTGTCAGGGACAGCTCATTTTTCTTCTGAGAGGAGCTGGTGATCAGTGAAGTTTGGGGATCACAGATTGACAGGTATGAAGAACAAGTCTTCCCTGGATTCTGAGGTGGGGGATGTCATAGGGACAGCGTGGTTGGGTTGGTGTCAAAAACCACCACTGATGGGGGTAGAGCCCTACAGGTTTGAACCGGACATGGGACCTATTGGCCAGGGACTGTCGCTCTTCTCTGTCACTGACTGCAAATACTGCACTCACTCACAGGCAGAACAGGGGTGGGCTGGGCTTAGATGTTTCCACGTGAATGCTGAATGGAGCAGGGGGTGGGACAAGCAGGAAGGGGTGAAGAGGTGGCCTCTAGTACAGGAAGGGGGGGGGCTCTTGACCCAACTCCCTGGTGGGGAAGTATTACGCATCAAACATCTAGATCTTCAGAATAGGTATCGGGGTTTTCCTGGGACCGAGTCACCACCTTGAACTGACGCCGAAGGAAGCCGCCATAGCGCTTCTGGTTGTCCCACTTCAGCTTGGGCCGAATGCGCCGCAGGAAGCCCCCGTAGCGTTTGTATAGGTCCTCATGCCCTACCGGCTCCCCATCCTGACCCCCATCCTCGTCCCCGGCCATCTCTGAGCTCCTCTTGGGGTATTTGCGCAAAAAGCCACCATAGCGTTTGTCCTGTTTCCTCAAGCCCTCCTCGTTGAAATGCAGTGCGTCAGTCTGCGTGGCTCCGTCATTCATCTGCTCGGCACCCACCAGCAGCTCAGACTCCTTTCCATCCCCAAACCTGCCCGAGAGAGCCCTGAGGTTTTCCTCTGAGACGCTGGTGAGGAATTGCCTTTTCTCCAGCTCCTTCAGGAGGGGCTCCAAGAGCTTGGCCAGTGCACTGTACCCTTCTTCCAAAGCAACCTCGTTATCCGCGTCATCCTTGCCCGGGAGCCCAACGGCAGAGGCGGCGAAAAAAGACAAATAGCGCTGGCATCTCTCCCACTCCTCTGTTGGTGGCACCAGGTCCTGGCATTCCAGGGAGCAAATCTGAAAGGATCCCAAAGAGCACAGAAGTAATGACACCAAATGACTGTCATCATGCGAGAGGTGAGAAATCAGACTTATCCCAAAGGCACAGAGGCAAGGGTGGAAATGCCGAGAGGAGAAGCAAGATCTTCCTAATGCCCTGCACATATGCATACACCAAAGGGTGTAGTTCTCTACCAGAAGTGGAGGGGACGGCTAACACTTTAGAAACAGAGGTTCAGAACAGCAGGAAGGATACGCATAGGGAATGGGAGGGGTCTATACACCTGCGCATGTGTCCTGGGGGGGATCATAGGATCTGCTTCATAGTGCTGTAGGGAGCATTCAGTCACCTCGATTATAATGGTAGTGACGGCAGTGGGCAATGCTGGGACTTGAATTCTGAAGGTCTGAGGCTGGAGTCCCCATGTGTCGCCACATTGCTCCCCCCCCCCCCCCGCAGTGAGCAGGACACACTGCGCGGCTCAACGGATGTAGACTAGACTCAGAGAGTAAACACTTGCCATCATCATGATCTCAGAGAATCGCTCTCGGTTTGTAGATGAGGAGAGTGAGACTCGGAGAACCGTTTCAGAGTGAGGGGGCTAGAAAGGGCCAGAATTCAACCTTGCGGGTTGTCCACCACAGTACAGCCAACTCGGCTGCAGTCCACCTGCAGTGCAGGGTGAGGCATGTGGGGGAGGGTGGCCCAGAGCAGCACCAACAGAGCAGGACCAGGAGAGGGGCGGAGGCTCCAAGCCCACCAAGTGCATCCTGACAGGGATGACCGAATTTTGAGGTGACTATCAGTCAGAAACAGAAGCCTTGGAATGTGTACCCAGTGCTGCAGACAGCACATCGAGCACCCAAATGGTCTACACCCTGTTGCCAAGCACTTGGCTGCCTGGAAACATGGTCTCTGTGCAGGCCTGGGGGAGCCATGGTGATGAAGTCTGGACTGCAATGGGAACTAGACAGCAGCAGACCCTGGTCCCCACCGGACTGGAGGGCAGGAGAGGCCATGAACGATGCAGTAGGTGCAGCAGACTCAGCAGCTGCCCAGATGTGCTACCTCCCGTCTCTGGGCTCCACCCACAACTAGAATGGTATGGAGAAGCTTTGCCGAGACCTACCAGGGGGTTGATAGGATGGGGCCCGTCCTGAGGCCTCACTGCACACAGGGAGCACAGGGACAGGCAGTCCGCTGCATCGTCGGAGGGCACCACCGCGAGGAGGCAAGCCGCCAGCATCAGCACAGACCACGCCATTCTGCCTCACTCTTTTGCTGGAGAGGGAGAAGGACAAGATGGTGAAGTTGTCCTGAGCTGACAAGGCCACATCTCTTACTCACGTCTCTGTGTAGGAGCAGCATGAGGCGGGCGGGCATTCTCCTTCCTGTCGAGTAGTCAAGGACACAGAAGCTGGGGTGGGAAAGTGGGAGTCAAGGCCACGGAATAAGGGCTGACGGGAGGGCTGAGTAATCACTGCCGTTGGGAACTTTTCTCTGTTCACAATCCACGCAGCAGCTCTGCAAGGCAGGCTGTGCTGTAGTTTTCACTGGACAGGTGGGGAAGCTGAGGCACAGGAAAATGGTTCCACACAGCTAGGAAGCTGGGGAGTCAGGGCTCGATTGGGTCTGTCCAACTGCAAGACACACCTGGGCTATCACCAACCGGAAGGTGTGCAGTATGACCTGAGTCCCCAAGCTGGAATGATCTATGATCTCTCTCTCTCTCTCTCTCTCTCTCTCTCTCTCTCTCTCTCTCTCTCTCTCTCTCTCTCTCCCTCCCCTTCTTTCCTTTTCTGTCTCCTAGTCTCATTCTCTGTCTCTCTGTCTCTGTCCCTTTTTCCCTCCCTCTCTGGTGCTGGGGATAGAACCAAGGGCCTCATACATGGTAGACAAGCATTGTATGACTGACATACACTCCCGTTCTTACTGGTTTTTGCAAGTTCTCTAGAGCTCGCCCTTTTCTCTTTAGCACTGCTCCTCAGGAGGACCAGAACTCCCCTTCACCCCTCCCCCCCCCTTCACACTGGCCTCCCTCCTTAGCTTCTCGGATTGGAGCATGAAATACCCTTCTCGGCTTAGTAATTCGGAGAAGGCACCCACAAAGTGGAGTAAAGCCTCAGCCTCTGCCTCACCGTCAGACACTCTCTGTCTGACCCCACCCCTAACCCCAACAGTGAGGTCTGGGATCTCCTCTCTCACCTCCTGGCCTTGCACGTGCTGATTTTTCTTCCTGGGGAGCTTTCCCCCTCCTTTTATGTCTTCCTTCCTTGATTAGGTCTCACCTGCCAGTAACTTGTACCGTCTCCATCGCCATAGTGCACCCCCTAACTAGCCGAGCAAGCACTCCGCCCCTTCAGGCATGCAGGCACACACATACACACACACACACACACACACACACACACACACACACACACACACACTGAACAGAGAGACTCTCTCTTGTCCTCTGCAGTACTTGCTGGTGGGCCTCAGACAGGCTAAGTTTGTTCCTGTCTCACTGCCCTTGTTTGTTTTCTTCCTCTGAAGTATTCTGACCTCAGGTTTTCACAAGACTGCCTCTCTGTGTTAAATAAACTAAATGTCACAGGGCCGGACAGGCTCACACTGGCTGAGGTATCCGCCTTTACCATTTCCCCCAACTAGAACGTTAGTTCTCAGAGGCACTGACTTTAGCTGTCTTAGCTTTTTATCCCAGCATTTAAAACTCCAGCCAATACATAGGCCCTTAGTAAGTGCTTGACCTGTGGACTGATGGATTATAAGGAAGCTTATTATAACTGTCCCTTTTGAGAGGGGAATATGGGTGTGGTTGGAAGGAAGGGGCATGAGAAAGACTGGAGGGAGGACAGGAAAGAGGAAAATCATGTAATTATATTTCAATTGGGGTAAAAAATTAAAGTTGTCCCCCTCACAGCCAATTTTTAAAATATTTTTATTTTATTTTTAACTATATGTCAGTATCAGGTGGGGTATATATATTTCAGATACCTATGGAGACCAGAAGAGGGTGCCCTGGATCCCCCAGAGCTGATGTGACAGGCAGCTGTGAGTTGCCTGGCATGGGTGCTGAGAACCTAACTGGTGATGACATAAGTCACAAAACAATCCCACACCAATATGGGGTCCTTTGCAAATTCAGTGTTCATCCCAACCACTGACTCAGCACTCTGGCTTCGTCAGTCAACTTTTTATGGTCAAATCACCATGTAGTTCCTGCAAGCCAAACGGTGAGACCCCAGAGACCCCTAGCTGGCCAGCTGGGGGGGTTTTACTCTCTTCCCCACATAGACATCCTGACCTACTGTCTCCAAGAAAAGAGACACTGTCTGCTCTCCTCCTGCAAACTGCCCTCTCTCTTCTGATGTCCAGGAGCTTCAAAGATTCCACCCATGAGCCCAAACCCTGGAACACACTCCAGAACAGGTCTCCTCTCTCGAAGCACGCAGTAGGCTCCCCAACCAGAGCCTTCCTGACCATTGTCTCAGGTGCCATCATTGAGCTTCTCCTGCCCTAAGCCCCTATGGCGGTGCTTCTGTTGCAGGGAGCTGGGGTGCAGAGCCCACTCTGTTGATTCTCTCCAGCTAATAATTGCAGTTTCTAGAACAGGTTTAGTCACCAACAGCTAAGTCTTCCACGAGTCCCAGCAACAATTTGCAGAGCCCTGACTCTAAGCCCAAGCCTAGTCTACCCACTCGCTGAGAGGTAGGCGTGATTGGCCCACTTTAGAGAAGCAAAAACTGGTGTCAGGAGCTTGATAGTTTGTCCTAAGTTCTATGCAACTGTAGGCCAGACTGCAGGTCCATGTGCTTCTCCTGAGACTGGGCTCAACTGCTGCTGGCACAGGGAAGCTCAGAGTAGAAAATGCAGAGAGCTATGCCTATGTACCCTATGAGTTTCCACGTCCCTCGGGTTAGTGCCCTGTTCTATCAGAGGAGAAAATCAGAGGTCTGGGCAAGCGAATGTTCCATTTACATGCAGACAAAATAAAAGGTTCATGGTTTGTGGGGGGGGGGAGCTTGTTTTGTTTTTTGGTGTGTGTGTGTGCACATGTGCGTGTGTGTGTGTTGTTTTTCTGATACTAAGAATAGCTGACCTGACCCATTATAATATTTGAGCAAATGAAAGCACTGGTGATCCAGTGTCAGTCTCTAACACCTGTTGGGAGACTTCCAAAAGCACCAAGCTCTAAAATAGACCCAATTTCGAACTCTCTATACAAAACTGGTATCCCCCTAGACACAATCTCCATGGTAGCCAGGGACTCTCTGGACACTCTCATCTGACCCAGTTCTGTTCCAGCCTCTCAGGCTCCATAATGCCTCCCAGAGGTCTGACTCCTTCTGCCTATACCCAGCAGCCTTCCCAACGCAGAGAACCTCTATTTGCAGAGTGCACACTGTATGTCTTTCTGTGCTCCATCCTGAACATATCTTAACATGAGGAAATCCTCGAGATAACCCCATAATGCTGAAGCAATATTTTCCCCAGCTCCATAACCAAGGGCCAATGCATGCTATCCCCAGCCCTTGCATTCAGAATTCCCTTTGCCCTGAACACTGGTTACCCGTTCCTATTATCTTTGACCTAAATAACTCTCACTGAGTCTTTAGAACTCAGCCTTAGGAATCACCTCCAGGAAGTCTGTCTGGACATGATCTCTCCTTGGAGCTCCTGCAGCCACCCATGCTAGCCCCAGCACATAGTACATCTGACTATCTGAGTCTGACACAAGAGGGGATTTTGTCATTGCAAAGTTTCTGCAGTATGAGTGCGTGTGGTATGCTTGACCATGACAGGGAGGCCACAGTTGAGAAAAAATACATCAAAGAGAAACTGGAGAACTAAATGCCAAGAAGGGGCAGGGGCCAGTTTGTGCCAGCTTCGTGGGCCTAGCTATAGTTTGCATTTGTTTGAAACATCATGAGAGGACCAGAGAAGTTTGTGTGATTGATGCATGGATGGATGGATAGATGGATGGATGGACAGATGGGTGGACGAATGGATGGATGAATGGGCAGATGGGTGGGTGGATGATAGATGAATGGGTCCGAGAGCCCCATCCAGGACTCAGATGAGACCAGAAGTTCCATACAAGTTTGTTGATTGAATAAACAGACATTTTAAAGCTGGGAGTTTTCCAACCGGGGAGAACCTTTATTTCCAACTTGTTTGGAAAAAACGTCAAAAGCCTTTGAGGCATTGGACTTGCATCTCACTTTGGTCCTAGTCATAGGGGGACATACTCACAGACCAGTCCCCACTGTCCCTGCAAAGCACCGAATAAACACTTGTCTCTGCCACACTTGGAAGGCTGACTCAAACAACTTGGGAAAGCAACTTGAGATGAGAGGTGTTAGATGGTTTTGAGAAGGCGGCCCCTCCAATCCCGCTGCAGGCCACTGAGTCTGCTCAGTAGGAGAGCAGAGCACAGACTCCAGCTAGCCACTTACCACCACTTGGAGAAAAATTTCCTTTACTAGACAGTGGGGCTAATAACAAAGGGTTTAGGGGTTGTTTAGCCATCAGGTGAGAGACCGTGTAGGCACACTAAACCTATGCCTGGCACACATCGGGCACTTTAAATAAAGTATAAAGGGATGGTCTGGTCTTATTATCCAGAGTTCCTTGAAAGAGTGGGTTTTGTTTTGATTTCATTTTTTGTCCTCTACCTAGCTCTGAGATATTTCTACTGTAGTCAGCTGGGGCTCCAGAGGCAACAAGCATTTTTATTTGAAAAGCCAGGGAGGAATAATAATAGCATGATTTAACATCACAATTATCTCTGGGAGCAATGTATGCATATGATTATGTCTATTTGGAGGAAGAGGAAATGGGAAGAGGGAAGAATGAAGTCATTTGCTTAAGGTCACACAATGAGTCAGGAGAACCTCCAGCTCTCACACCCACCTTGACACATGTCAGTGTTTCTGTGACCCTCCGGTGACAGCCTCGCTGGAATCTATCAAACTGTGAGCCACTGCTCTGGGCCAGACGCCTCCAGATGGCCCCTCAAGGCAGGCTGTCAGTAAAGGCTCAGGCTTCAGAGGAGAACTGCCCTGGTGGCAGGACTGGAATCTGTAGCATCCTCCACCTGGAGGCCAAATGCTTTATATCTTTGATAGGAATCACCTGCATTTGTGATCTGGGCACTGTCAGCCCCACTTTTTAGGTGGGAATGCAGTAACTCAGAGAGATGGGAACTAGGCATGACATTAATCCACCGATTGCACCCGCTGTCCAGAGGTATAGGGACACATGGCATGTCCTGTGGGCTAACCCCCAGACTGTCACACTCCTGAAGATGAAACCACTTTGGGACTTTTCACCTTAATAGAAAGTAGCAAGTTCATTTTTGTGAGTTCTCAAGGGGCTGCCAACAGAAGGCTCTGAAACTGGAGGATGCCCCTTATTGAGAAATGCTCACTCATAGAGGAGGGGCAACCAGTTTGCAGAATGGCTTTAGTTCTGAGCAGAAAATGAGCCAATCTTTTGTTCAGCATGTATCAAAGCACAGACATAGGACCAGGCCTTGCCCAAAGGTCATCACATTTGCTGAGCAGAGAGACAAATAGAAATACGGGTCCTGCAGCCCAGGCCCCAATGGTCACGGTCTCGGTGACATCATTAGCTGCAGTTCTAAAGGAATGTGTCTCCGCTGTCAGATTTGTAATGGGGTCTCCTCCCCCCTCCCTTATTGTCGTTTGGTGCATTTGTAGGATAAGGAGAAAGAAAAACGGAGAACGAGAGGTCAAGGAGAGAGATGAAGAGTCAGAGTAAAGGGACACGAGTGGGTGGGAGGGCAGTGCAGATACCGGGGAAAGAGAGGGCGGGGCTGAGAGGAAGCAAGGAAAAGGAGGTAAATGCCAGTGTCCTCTTCTGCCTCTCCCCAAATCTGCTACATAGTAACAGCTCAGGAAACCCTTATCAAGTTAAATTGAATCTTACAGGAATAAGACTGGGAACACAGGCAGGTGAAGCTACCGTAGACACATCTCCTCTGGTGAGTATGTCTGCAAGTCGTAGCCAAGCATTCTGGCAAGTGGGGTAACTGGGGTGGAGTGAGGAGAAAACTCCTGAGCATGTCACCTGCCTCAGATATGAGAGCTGTGGTGGGGGCGTGGAGTAGGATCCAGGCTGGGCTGCAAAGGACCTGGAGACATAGCTCAGCCTGACGTCCCTATCTCTTCCCACTGTGGTCAGCTCTGTCTCGGTGAAGTTGTTTTAACACCATGTCAGACCCCTAAGATCTGCCAGTCACTTAGGAGCCGAGATGAGCAAGTGGGTGAGGGAAATCACCTGCTGACTGCCCTTCCTCAGATATGCACTGAAACCAAAGCAGCGATGACCCCTCGAAGAATAAAAGTGAGATATGAAATATAGAAAAGATGGGCCAGGATATCGGGGGCAGCGATGAGATGTCAGGGAGGGATTTCATTGTCAGGGGAGGGCAGATAAAGAAATGAAGTCATCTGTAGGGGTGCAGAGAGGAACACTGGCCCCAGAAAGATCTGAGTTTTAGTCATATTTCCCTGGAAGAGCACACGGCAGCATGGAATGGGGTGACCGAAGATGTCATATAAGAAAAGGAAGGGGGGGGGGCTCATTCTGAAGCCCGCCATTTTGAATCAGCAGAGAGTTGGCCATGCATTTACTGAGTGCCTACCAAATACCAGGTGCATACAGCCTCCCTTCGGAGCCTCACGGAGATATGAGGGAAAGGACATTATTATTATTATCTGCATTATATCAGTGAGGAAATTAAGACCCAGAAAAGGAAAAGAATTGTTGCAAAATTACCCAGCAAGGGAAGGCTGGCTACGGAGTTTAAACTCAGTCTAGGCTCAGGTGTGGCCACGCACTCTCAGGTGATACCTGGGAAATTCTTGAAGTAGCGCTCAGGGAATCCTGTGAGTTTTCACAGTCTTCCGTGTGCTTTCTCAAACACCCCAGAGCGAAGCACTTGAGCAGCCTGCTGCAGCAGAACTGGGGAGCCTACCACACAGCTGCTGTGGGAGCTCTGGGACACCCCAAACTCAGCTGTCAGCTACTCGGGGAGACAAGGAGAGTCGCCTGCCACCCAGCATTCTTAGCACAGTGAGGACAAAGCAATGGGCTCAGGAGTGTGTGGGTAAACACACACACACATACACCAGCACCATAACTCACCCGTTGTGGCTGCTTCAAGGACTTCCCCCGCACAGATCTCAAAGCCTGGGGAAGAATGACCTGCAAAAACAGAACAAAAGGCAGAGTGGGGTGAGATGAGGCAGTGGTGAGGGGTGCAGGGAAGGAAGGTGAGCAGTGAGCAGGAGGAAAGCCCCCACGAGAAGGAACGGAAAGGGATTGACGTCAGGAAAGGTTTCGCAACAGATCTTGACAGCCATGCCTGTCAGATTAGGAGGATGAACGGTGTCTATTTCACCAACCCTTGGCAGAAGGGCGATAATGAGAGTTCGCTGTCTGTGGGAGGGTGCTTGAAACCAGATCCAATAACCTAAAGAGCTTGGAGGCTTTATTAAGGGATACTTGTAAACCTTGAGAGGTTCTCAGAAAAAAAAAAAAAAAAAAAAAAAAAAAACCAGCGAAAGTAACAAGCCACAGAATTTACTGTTCAACCATGGAGTGGTCTCCAGCCACCTTCTCTGAAGCTCGCCAGCTTTATTACTAATGTCAAACTTTGGGGTTCCACAATACTTCTTTGGATGTGGGCATTGCTATAAGAGAGCCCATGGCTTTCCCCAAGCGAGCTTCCTGCAGCCTAACTTAACTGCCTCCGGCGTAATTTACATGAACGCAACAAGTCTTTTCAAAGTAAAATTGGCGAGCCCTGCTCGGCCGGCTCGGGTGTCTAGCCACGCTCCCACAGCCTCCATTCGGAGTAACATCATAGCAAATTAGCACCTCATCAGCGATTAAACATGAATTAGAAAGAATAAAAAAGACGGACGGCGCTTGTTTACGCGTTGATGGTGCCGCTCCACACTTGGCAAATGCCGAGTCCCGGACCTCATTAACGTTCCCAGTCCTTGTTCTCTAAGTCCGGTGAGGCTGTTAACCTTTAAAATCCGGCTAATTAGTGAAACCTCTTGGTCTTCCGCCCAGGTTGCCCCCTTCCCCTCAGACCCTGGAAACTAGCATGGGGACCGCTGTGTGGCAGAGCTTAGGCGCAGCTAGCACCTGGGTAAGTCAGGACTGTACAGGGCTTGGGTTCTAGAGGGCAGGCAGCTCTTAGGACTCCCTGACCTGGCTTTTGTCAACTAGCCTTGAAAGGACGACTTTCTGCTCTGAGTAGTCAGAACCAAACCTGACTTCTCCCAGCCCAAGCTCCCACGGGTCCCTCTGCCTGGCGTCAGGGGCAGATGCGTCAAGCCAGCATGCCTGAGCTGCCTGCAGATCTTACCTGTATATTGCTTTGTCCCTGGTATTCTGGCTGGTCGGGTGGTCGGGTGGCCGATCCAAGAGTCAGGAGGCACCCTGACTCTAGCTCAGAGAAGTGCCACAGAGGAAGCTGTGAGGGCTACCAAGTCCCCTTAGAATGGCAGTTCTGGAGCCTTTCCCCCCCTTTTATGGATGAGAGTCTCCCCCTGTCGCTCAGCCCTCTTGCGCTTGCTAGCACAGCACACGCTGCCAGGAGCCAATGGGGAAATGGCAAAGCAGTCAGAGCTCAGACCCCCCAGGCCCTTCCACTCAACTCCCTGGGCCTGGGTGAGACACAATAGCTGGTGATGGGATGTGGGGGAGGACGCAAGTGCGCAGTCTGGGGGTGGATTCGCAGTGTAGTGCTGTTTGTCACTTCCAATCCGGCCACTTTCCGCATTTCCCGGAGAGTGTCACAGGAAAGCAGAGACAAAGGTGGGGAAAGGCAGAGACAGAAAGATGGAGAGACTGAGTGAAATAGAAAGGCAGAGAGAAAGTCAGCAGACAGAGAACGGAAACAGGCGGGGCTGAGACACAGGAAGAGTGCAGACAAAGCAAGAGGAAAAGAGAAAAAGACGCACAGCCACAGAGGCTCTCGGAGACTAGGAGGTAAAGAAGGACAGAGAGTCAGAGAAACAGAAATACTGGGACAAGGAAGGCTGTCTCAAAATATAGGGACCAAGGAATGTCTTGGAGTGCCCACAACAGTTCTTGGCTATGGAAAAGGAACACTCAGCTCCATGTTGGCTGGGTCACACGCACACACTGAGAAGAGTGCACAGTTGTGTTAGGGTGCCAGTTGACTTGGGCACCTGCCCGAGTTGATGCCAGGCGCTGCCTTTCCCTTACAACCAGGGGCTGCGGTTCGATTTTCAGTTTCCTCTGGCAGTAACAGGGGGAGTCCTCAGAGTCCCGGCTGTGATATATCTGGGAGGGATCACATCCGCCCCATGGGACCCCTCCACCCCGCCATGAGCAGCCTGCAGGGTCTGCACAGCTGGAAACAGCTCCCAGAACATGGGCATCTCTGAGTGTGGAAGAAAACATGCTTGTCTCTTTAGCCAGCAGCACAACTGTTTGCCTCGGCGGGGAGACTGCCAGCGGCTGGCCAGGGAGTGCATGTCATGAACACCTGGGTTGTACCAGGCAGTGAACAAAGATGTCAGGTTTAATTCTCATGTCCTGGCCAGGTGCAGCAGCATAGGCTAGAGAGTTGACTGGCCCCTGAATGTAGCATATCTGTCACCAAGACCTGTCATCCAGACCCAGATGGATCTGGCCCTAACTCCCTACCTACTGGACAATGGCCCACCCCGAGGACTTGGCTCTAGAATGTCCACCTCTGAGACTCAGTCGGTTTGCCAGAACAAGGTAGACAAGAGCAGCTAGTGACACCGGCAGTCTGGCTTTAACTTCTGCCTCTGCCACTCACCAGTGCAGAGTACTGAGACAAGTTAATAGATTCGGCCTCAGTTTGCTCATCCGTAGAATGGGGAAAAGAGCCCCCATTGGGAGCTTGCCATAGAGAAAAGAGGAAATGCCAAGAACGTCTGCCGTCGCTGGCACATGCCCAGCACTTCCTCACAGCTGCCCTCGTGGTTGCAGTGATTAGCTCAATCGTGCTCGGTCTGATGCACCAGCCATGCTTCACGCTTCTCTGGGGCATCAGCCTCTTCCTGCCGCTGGGCCATCTCATGCTCTCATACACCCAGGATGACAGAAGGGGCCATTTGGTGAGTACCTAGCACATCCCAGCACATCCCAGACATCATCACTTGTTTCGCCGGAGCCTCAGCAAAGCCACCCCGTGATGTGGTTGTCACAATGTAGCCTTGCGTGACTAAGCAGCTGCAGTCTGGTGTAGTGACAGTTATGCAGGGCGAGTGGGGAGGTCCCATATGCCCTGTCCCTCTGGCTGTGACTCCAGGCCCCCTGCTCTTTCTCATCTCCACCCTAATCTTTCCTTCTGCAGGACTCCTCTTCCATGGTGAACCAAGGGCTGGCTCTGACAGGCAGGAACGTACACTTCCAGGCACTTGCCCGGCATCTGGTAGCCATGTCTCAGGCTGTCTTCCTGCTTGCCGAGCTGGAGCTCCCAGTGTCTCTAGTCACTGCTACCCGAAGATCTCACAACCTGAAAATGAGCTGTTTCTTCATCCTCAAGATCTAACTCTCATGCCCTCTGCTCCTATTCTCTTTAATTCCCCCTCCCTTCTCCTAATCTCTACCGACGTAAGCTCTTGGCAATAACCTTGGAATAGACCAAGAATCCTAGAAGAGATGGGGTGACGTCATTCCCTTAGCTGGAAATCAGCAGACGCTAGAGAGAGAAGTGGGAGATGCTACATCATAAAGAGATGCGCAGGCAGAGATGCTCAGTGTTGAGTAGCCTTTGCCGGAGGCCATCATAGCCTCAAAGCAAATATTTTCGGTATTTATTTTTATCTAAATACACACACACACATGCACGCACGCAGGCATGCACATGCCTAGGCACACACACACAATTATTGTGCACATGTTGCAGAAGGCTAATAACAGACTCTCCTTATCCCTGGAGAACCCTAACACAAAGTTTGTCTCCCTTAGGCCTGGGACACACACCCCTCCCACTTGAGGTCCTAACGCAGGCCTCTGAGCACCATTGAAGGGAAAGAGGAAACCGGGCTCCCTGGACTCTCCTGTGGGCTGACTCTATCCATCACAACCGATGGACACCTCATTTAGATGCACAAATGCCCGAGTCATCCTCTGAAGGCAGGGAGATAGCGGCAGCTTTATCTAGTTGTCAGGACTAATCCCTGCGTTCTCTCCTGCGCCTTGCCGCCTGTCCTCGTTAAATGATGATCTCCAGTTCTGATCATGAAATGGACAAGAAACAAAGAACAAAGTGAAGGAAATGCTTGAAACAATCAACCCTCAAGTTTGCTGTTAGAAAGGTTTCAGGAAAATCACGTTAGAAGACAGAAAAATAAAGGAAACAAAGGCAGCTCTTATTGCTGCAAACCTCTCTCATCCATCAGCTGTCCTGTGATCAGCTGTGACCCTCACCTTCTGCTTGCAGACTAAGAAATAGGCTGGGAGATGGAAAACAAACAAACCACCTCGGAATAAGCCTATCCCAGTGTGAAAAATAATGAAGACTTTAAAACACCAAAGGAAAAAATAGGAAAAGACACTCGAAGATGAAAGGACTTTCCAGGATCACTGATTGGACGAATCAATACCGAGAAAATAGCTATCTTATCAAAAGCAATATCAGAATCCCGAGGTAGTTCTTCACGGAAACATAAAATACATTAAAATCCCTGTGTGAGTACAAAAGATTAAAAGAGTATTTCTTGGTGTATCACCATAGCTGGCTTCCATCATATGCATGGGACTGGTGCAAACACCAGCACATAAATCTGAGAAACACAGTGCAGGACCAGTTACAAATTCTGTAGCTACAGCCACCCGGTCCTTGACAAAGATGGAAAAAGACACAGATCGGAGAAAAGGTAACACTTTCAACAAATGGTGATGGGAAAACCGGACAGTCTTCTCTCTCACCCTGCACAAAAATCTACTTTGAACGCATCAAAGACCTAAGTATAAGACCTGCAACTCCGAAACTTATAGAAGAAAATGTAAGGAAATGTCTTAGTTCCGTTTCTGTGGCTGTGGTTAAACACCATGACCAAGACAACTTAAAGGAGAAAGAGTTATTTGGGTTTATGGTTTCAGAGGGATGAGTCCATCACAACAGGGAGGCTTGGGAGTAAACCATCAGGAATGTAGCAGGAGCCAGAAGCTGAGAGACCACACCTGTGAATATAGACACAAAGCAAGGTGGTGGGGAGCAAATAGGAAATGGGGTGAGACTACATATCTCAAGGCCCACACCCAATGATTTACTTCCTCCAGGAAGACCACACCCCCTCAACCTCCCAAGTAACACCACCAACAGAGGATCAAGTTTGTAAATACCCAAGCCTATAAGGGACATTTCTCATTCAAAGCGTCATATTGCTCACGGCCAATAAAATGCATTTAGTCTAACTTCAAAAGTCCTCCTACTCTTTGGCAGTCTCAACACTGTTTACAAATAACAAAGTTCAGAGTCTTTTCTGAGACACAAAACAATCTATTCAAACTGTAACCCCTGGTAAGGTAAAAACATACAATGGCTTGGAATATCCCTTACCAGTCCAGAACAGAGGAATGGGAGCATAGTGAGGAAATGCTGGACCAAAGAAAGACCTAATCCCAGCAGGGCAAACACCACATTCTGTAGCTGCACATCTGATGTACAGGACATTCGTTTTAAAGAGCTTCGATGGCTCTGGCCCTCCAGGTTCACTGCCTGCAACATACATCTTTCTCTTGGGGTGATTTCTCTCCCTCTATGGAGCACTCCTTGGCAGATATCTATGGTTCTGACATCCCCAATATCTCGGGGTCTCCACTGAAACCAGGCTTTACTTTCCCAGCTTTGCACAATGGCTTCTTTCTCACAGCCTTTCCCCCTCTCTGGGGGCCTTCAGGCAAGGACTCCCCTGCCCCTGCTTGGCCTCAACAGCTCCCCCAAGTCATAGAGGAAGAACTCAAGAACCCCTTCACTCTTACATTCTTTATGCCTTTAAAGCCAGCACCACATGGCTGATGCTATCAAGATGAGATACCAACTTGGGATGGGCCACTTTGAACAGCTTCTGTTTGGTGTTGCCAAGTTTGTGTCTTCAGAGACCTGAAGGGTGCAGGGGGGGGGGCATGGATTTTTCCCTCACAGCTGTGGCATCTCCAACATCATGGAGTCTCCACCACAACTCTGGCTTCACGTTCACAGTTTCACACAAAGGCCATCCAGGCAGGGAATCCCCTCCCTCAGGCTGCCCGGCCTCAGCAGCTCTCCTTCCCAAGTTGGAAGCTTAACTGGGTCAGATGTTTCCCTGAGGGCGCCTTTCCCTTACTCCAGTGCAGAGCAGACTTCTTTTTTGTTTTGTTTTTTCTCTAGACAGGGTTTCTCTTTGTACCCCTGGCTGTCCTGGAACTAGCTCTGTAGACCAGGCTGGCCTTGAACTCAGAGATCCACCTACTTAATGTTACTAATCTTAACAATTACAGGTCCATTCAGCATAAGCCTCAGCTGTGAGAGTAAGCTTCTTATTATCCTTTGTGTCTCCAAACAGTGAATTTTGCATTTCTTTGTGATCCACTTTTTTTTCACTGTAGGCTTGCATAAGGGTTATCAGTAATTACCATACCACAGATTTAATATCATATAGT